GTGTTTCATGCCTGAAGGTAACTTCAACTTTTCAGTTGCTGCCTCCAATCTGCTACATAAAAACAACCTTGGTGCTGGCAGCGGGATGTGTTTTGCTCAAGGACACTTAGGCAGGACAAATTGAAAAATGCTGGCCAATATGGGGCTTGGAGCTTGAATCTAAATCATATCCTTAAAGGACAATCTTCCTATGCCACCCTACATAACAATGAAATGTAACTTACTCAAGTAATGTTATCATCAGAACATATCATATTTAATAAAGGGGAGGATAAAAGTCAGATATATCATGTATATGTTGTAGAGGAAACTTCTGTGTAGCATGCAGTGGAGTCACCGACTCAGGAAGGAGACACGGGAAGAGTCGGAGCTTTGATGTCAAACCACTGTGATTTATTTGGAGTTGGTACCAGAGTATTCACATCACAAATCCAAGAGTCAGAGGTTCTGACTCCACGGTAGAGTTGCCACGTCAATTCTGGAGAGCCTCTCTCTTGCCAGCCCATGCATCTAACTGGTTTCGCAGAGAGTAAACAACATATTTGAGGAGATAGCCTAAACAGTGTGGGAACACAGAGCTACTTGCCTCGGACACTTATGACCTCGAAGATTTTACCTTGGAGTCCACAAATACAGAGAAGGAAGTGTCCCAGTGTACCCACAACACAGACCATCTGTATCCCAGTATTGACCGGTCACAGAATGGGAACAATAACATTGTTGGCTAAGCCGCCTGTGTCCTTAAAGAAGGTAAACAGACATCGAGGTTTGTCCTGTATGTTACTAATTGGCGTCTTATGATAATTATTTCCATAACATATGTTAATAAGCCATTATCCTAGAAAACATATTTGACTAATTTAGGTGTGGATTGAGTGTTAAAGAATGTGACATGAACTTGACCAGGCTCCTGACACGTATCAAGTTACTGTCTGACTGTGTGTGCGTGTGTGTGTGTGTGTGTGTGTATGTGTGTGTGTGTGTGTGTGTGTGTGTTTGTGTGTGTGTGTGTTTGTGGGGTAGGGATAGTGCCTGTCACCACACACACTGATGTGTTTATTTCACTGCAGCTGGGGTGATCAATCACACAGAGACAGACGCAGACAGGCACACACACAACTATTCACACACAGTCATGATACACACACACAAATACATACGCCCACCTGCTATGTGCAGTCTACTGGCTTTGCCTGGCCTGTGGGGTCAATCCTATACTCTTCGGTTTCAAGATTAAAAAATGTATTTTTGCTGTCAGACTGCTGCTTCACTCTGCTGTCTCTATATCCGAATGAACCTTATAGCATTCATAGGGAAAAATATAGATGAGTGTGGCTCAGATCCCAGTTTCACACTGCTTTTTTAGATATTTGAACAAAACTTTTAATGGCTGATTAACTTATCTTGACTGGTTTAGATGACCTCGGACCAGATATGTAATTATTCTAAACATGTAAAAAAGATGTCTCTGTCCTTCCTCAACAACGCTTCATTGGATTGACTTAACATTTGGCAGCTGTACTGCTGAGAACCCAAGGAAGTGCATTATTGAGTGTGACTTCTTGAGATTGACGGGAAATATGTATTAGTTGTGCGTTACCTGTGAAATGAGAGGGGACCCCTAAACACTGTAACATCCCGATTGAAATGCTTTGTATAGCTTTTTCACAATTGTTAAATATACTCTAACATAAAGGATTCAAATATCCTCATGTAAATATGAAAACAAAATTAATAAATTGAAGCAAACTTTTCTTTGAAAGTGAACATAGGGCTGCACTTGTTGCAAGTTCTCTGAATTCACCATCTGTGTCCATAAAACCTTTCCTGTTGAACTGCTGAACCCTCCCTGCTGAATCCAATAGCTTTCCATGAGCTTTTAAAGGGTTTCTATCACAGTCTAAAGAGATTTAGATGTTTCTCAAGGATTTCACAATGCTTCAAATTGTGTCTCTCAGGAGTTTTCGATTGAAAGAGAGAGAGAGAGAAAAGAACACAGAGAAGACTGACGGAGGATAAGAGCAGTACTGTCAGAGGAAAGTGAGGAGGACATTATTTTTGCATTGGTGGGCGTGTAGACATTTTCTTTGCAATCTTGGATTGGTTTGACCCTGACCTCTCAAGTCATACATTGGTGCAGCCGTTAAAATGTTCCCTGGCTAATCTGTCCCTTGGTGTACCTTTTGTCATTCTTTACTTTAAGTGTTTTTGTGTGTGTGTGTGTGTGTGTGTGTGTGTGTGTGTGTGTGTGTGTGTGTGTGTGTGTGTGTGTGTGTGTGTGTGTGTTTGTATGGGTTTATGTGTATGGATAAACATCTGCATGCATATGTTGGTATTTACATATGTTGCATGAATATGAATTGGAATAAGTAACTTCAATGTGTGTCTTGGTGTGTCGGTGTCTGTGTGTGTGTTTTAGTCAATGCTCTGGTGCATCGTATTGACACCCACGTGATGCCAGCTGACTATTACAATGTGGCTATCGCATATCAGGGCACCGACCCCATCACATTGACAACTTTACAACAGTCGTCAACTGGTTGACACCGCAACCGCAACCACTAATATTAGAACATTTTAAGAGAGGTCACAGGACAACACAGCTGTCAATCAAAAATAACGATGGTTGGTTATGTGTGTGTCTGGGTGTGTGTATAAAAGCGAGCAAGTCAAAGAGGAGGTAGAGAATGAGACAAGAGAACGGACTTGATAAGAACAAAGAGGAATAGAAAGTCAGAGGAGATAAAACAGAAAGTCAGGGCTACATCCTGCGGTCATCAACTGGTTTTAAACCTAAATCCCTCTAATCAGCTTGAGCAGACAGGGGAGACGGAACAATCCATTTACTCTGAGATCCCAGTATGACAGGAGAAACAGATGGAAAATGTAACAAATTGAACACACTGGAAAAGAAGCTCTGAGTGTGTGTTGGTGTCTTTGTTTTTCCGTGTGCTTTTGTGCATGAAAGTATTGTGTTCAAGTAGAAATAAAAAGGCAGATGAGGCAGCAGTAGTCATTCGACATTAGTGTAGAGTTTTGTCTCTGAGATGAAGTATTGTGAGTAGTAAGTGTGGGTGTGTGGCAGAGAGAGAGAGGGACAATACAAGTGGGAAAAAAGCATTCAAGTCTTTGTGGCTTTATACTATAAAAACTGATCACAATTTTACCAATGTATTTGTCTACATATTTTACGATTGTAATGACAAGAAAGGACATGATCAGTGTGTTCTTCCCCATCACACCTCTTTCTGTCCCATTTTCTTTCTGTCCCACCATCACCTCTGCCTTTCCCCCCACACAATCCCCCTCACTTTGTACAGTGGTCTGTCTGCCTACTTCACCCCCTCTCCTTCAGTCCCCCCTCCCTCTTTGTCTCAGGGGTGCTGTGTACTTAGGTGCAATTGCAAACGACTATCAAACCCTGAGCGAAACCTGATTCAGAGACTCCTTATCCGGGAGCGCAGCCGTCTCCTTGCTGTGCTGCTCTCCCCCAGCGACTGGCTACATTCAATTAGGTCTTTTTATCCATTCAGGTGGGAATGCAGCCAGATGAAACAAGGCAAGGCAAGGCAAGGCAAGTTTATTTATATAGCGCTTTTCAACACAAGGCAATTCAAAGTGCTTTACAAAAAATGAAAGACATTAAGAAAAGGGCATTTAAAATCAGTCATTAAAAAGAAAAGCTAATAAAATAAACATTAAAAGAAAAAATACATGGATAAAAGTTACAGTGCAGTTTAAGATATAAATAGTTCAATTAAAACAAGGAAAATAAAAAACAATTTGAATTGCAAATGACACTCTTCACTGAAGTTAAGGCCCTCAGGGAGTGAAAGTGACACGTGTGGCTCTCCTAAAGTGGATGTTTACTGTGTGGCCGATTAGATGAGTCAGTAAAATGTCTATGAGCTGACAATGGACTTGCAGCAGCTACACATTATTATCTTACAATAAAGGGGGACGTTTTGTAAAATGTACACTTTACTGTTGGAATTAACAGCATTGCTGGGACCCTCTGACCTCATTAAGTCAGCCTTGTTTAAACAAGGTTCCTTGAGCAAGGCAGTTAAGTGACCTCTTTAAATGGCCAACATAATGATGTTGGGATTTTACTTGTTGGCAAATGTTACTCTCCCCTAAGTGAAGGGTGTTTTTGTGTTTCCTTTACTGCAAGTGTTTCTACTTCTATTTTCAGAAGTGTGTAAATCTGTGCTAATGAAAAATAACATTATTTTTCAATCCTTTTGAGGAACATCATGCCATCCACTTTCATTAATTACCCTAGTTATAATGTGCAAAGCTCAGGTAGAGACGGCAAAGGTTTAGCCTATATTCCCTCTCTCAGAGATTTCCCCAAGTAACTTGTGCTGTAACTCAAATTGGCTCTCTGGGTACATTTGATTCTAAGTTCAAACTTTGGATCAGGTAAATCTCATTTCAGTAGAGCATTTGAATAACTGTGACTTAAAACTGAGATTTGGGCTGTTTTTCTGATTTCTCCCTGTGACAATTTAACACAAATGTATGTACATATGTAAAACAAAGCTTTATATTTCTAAAAACGTTTAGTGATTAATTTCAATGCGTTGCTTCTTGTAGTTACATTAAAAAGTTAGGGCAGTGGGAGGGCGCAAACCTCCACAAAGGCTGTTCCATAAGTGAGGAATAATGTGTGTGCCCATGTGATTCCCCTAGCTACAGTAGGATATATAATGGGCTCTATTGGGAAGTTGTTATGTTGTTTCTGCTGACAAACAGGCACATTTTAAACCCATAAACCAAAGTGAAAACAAATCCTCCTTGGCAGACACAATGATTTAAAAATCTAGACTTTTAAACCGCACTTCCAAATAATTTTTTTATGATGACTCCTATTTTCTTTTAGATCCACTTTTGTATTTCTCCCTCTTTAAAATACCTATTCAATAGTCCTCCTAATCTGACGTCTTGCTTGGCATTCCCCTCAGGTGGAGGTTAACAATAACGCTGCCCTTACGTACCTCAGCTGCTGGTATGCCCTCCGGAGGGCGACACTGCAACAGGACTTCCTGCTCCAGAGTTACTTCCTTTCCCAGGGGTTCCTGTTCAAATGACTTCTTCAGGTCTAAGGAGAGAGACAAAAAGAGACACACACATGTGAGATACTGTTATTGGATTACCATGCTATGAAAGATTTAGTCCCTTCCTACATCCATGACTTGTTTAAACCTTACACTCCAGCATGTGCACTTTGCACTGCAATCGGCTTGCTTCTCACTCATTGCAAGTGGAATCCTGGTAACCCAGGATTCCAGCACTTTGGCTCGACCAAAAATAGTTTTAAAAATGTGCTATATAAATAAAACTTGATTTGAACCCGCAACAAAAACATGCCTGTTTGATTTCCTGGCTTCAAAATGCTGGAAAGGGTTCCACGTTGAAACATCACATAGCACACTGATGCATTGAAACAAATGACTAACACAGTTCAAATCTTGAATCCAAACAAGCAAAGTGCTTGCACGGGTAATTATTGGATCTCAAACCAGGAAATCCCTGGAAATATATCAAAGAGAAAAAAATAAAATAAAACGGATTACCAAAAGTTAAAAATCTCAATGGAAAGCGAACTTGTGTCGCAGGCCCTATGGCAAAAGTATCCTGTGATTCATCGTTCAGGGAACCCATTTCAGAGATGGTGCCATGTCATTTTACACCAAGCTCATTACCTCATTTCCGCGGTAACAATGACACGGTAATTATGGAGTTGGTAGTTGAAGTCAGCCATGCATATATTGACTTCGCCCACTCTCCTGTCACTTTAGAAATGAACATAGCAAGGAAAAACGCTGTATATTCTTAGAGGCAAGTAATGCCCACAAACACACACACATACACAGACAATGTTTTCATTTAAAAAAGAGTTAACCACACATACACTTACGTTTTTGAACACAGGCTGCTTTGTTGCATGCTCACCCCTCAATCACTGCGTACAATATTTAACCTTGCTTTCATTCCATATAGACTTGCCGGAGTTAAGGGAACTCAAGCAGGCCAAAGACAATAAATGATTCACACTAATGGGTAACATGCTGTGATAAATGACAGCGTTACAAAGCAGTATGGAATGCACTGCCATTTCTTCCACAGAACATTTCAGAGATGGCTCAGCTGTTTTTATTTTGAGGGGAAAAAATGCTCACAGTAGCAGACTTTAGGACAATTAGCTAGACATTTAAATAAGAACAACAGAACATGGAAAGACAAAATAAATAAGGATGGAGCGGAGGCGTTGAAAGACGTGAGCACCCCGGGTCCATAAAGCTATTCACTCTTACTGTTGCTTTTCTGTTCGCCTCCTTAGTCAAATGCCATGTATAGCATTCTGTATGGATGTATCCCTACGGTATATTGGCAGTTGAGCTTAACACATGTTAAAATGATTAGCCTGCCATAGAAAAAGGTCATAAAACAAATTGTAACCTAAGAGGGGTGGCAGTGTTGCAAGACTTAGCAGGTGACTTTATTTATAGTGCTGATCCGATGTGATGGATTTCTAAATAAGAACATATGGAGCGGATTGAGTTTTTTTAATCCACGCTTCTGGGTGCAACTCAGATTTTTACGATCACATTTTTTTCTAGAATCAGTCTCAACATGATCGGGGTAAATGGAGCTGCAAATCTGGCCTTTGTATGCCTTCAACATGATATATAAAATACATTACTTGAAAAAAAATATGTGTGCAATCTGTATCACGATAATAAAGTTTCACATATCACAGAGGCAGCATGTAAGGATAAATAATAAAATAAACTACATATCTGCAGATGTGGGTAATCTAAAGTCCAGAGGTCTGTTGCTATGGCAGCATTAACAGCAATATTGAAGTGATAAAATCTTTGAAATATAAAGATAACAAATGTTTTGACTTTGAAGAGTGTTAGAGTCACTTTGATAGTTTGTAAAGTACTGTATTGCTGCAGGTGTATGACACACATCCTCCCCCCTCTGTCCTTCAGCTTTTTTAAACCTCTGTGTGTGTGTGTTTTATTGTTTTGTCCTTTTATTCTCCTGGTTCCCAAGTGTACTCTTAATCACCTTATCCATCAACTATTGTACACCATGTGTGGACACACAAAGACACAAACACTAGAAAGAGCAATTATTTAATGCTGAACCGGTCAACTCAGAGTCATCTGGGTATTTCATCAAAAAGAGGCATAAAGAGATAGGAGGCAAAGTGTAGGACAATGACGGTACGTCCACACGGCTCCGTCGCGTTTGATTGGCTAGCGCTTGTACTGGCATATGATTTGATTGGCTGGCGCTTCCGTCGACGCTTGAAAAGTTGAACTTTTCTCAATTTTCGAAGCGAGCAACAGAGGCAAAGCGACGCCACGGAACCACAATGCCGTCATTGAAAGTCATCAAAGTGATTGGTAAGCATCTCCGTTGAAGCACGCAACGGAACCGTTACGGGAGACGTAAAATGGGATGGGGAAGGGTGAAGTGAAGGGAGGGTGGAAGTCCGGAAAGCAGGTGAGAGTTGAAAGATGAGGAAGAAAGAGAGAGGAGGAAGTTGGCAGCATACAGCAGGACCTCCTACACTTTTTCCAATTACCAAAACCACCTGATCGGACAAACCATTCAGTAGAAAATGATGTCAGTGAGTCCATCTTGTATTATCTGCATTTATCTGCCTCATCTCTCTCAAAACCAAGCAGCAATCCATCAGCCCTACCAGCCATCAATCTGCCTTTGTTTGTTCCTGCTTTATCAAGATCACAATCTGACAAAAACATGGTGACAGATAGTGTGTGTCTAAGCTCACAAACGTATAAAAAACATTCAATCAAGCCCATGACAAATCATTTGTAAATGCTGGTTTTATATTGAGTCCCGTAGACAATTTGTATGACAACCAGTACAAAGTTCATGCATGCTATTATTACTTATTTCCAGAATTTGTGGAATTTTGAATTTCAAATTTTAGAAATGCTTTCGCTTTGTACATTGGTTTAAGGAATTAAGTCAATATATGTAGTAAGTAATTGAGCTGTAAATACTGCAATTATCTAGTGATAAGTGATATTGGTAATGTGATTTTTACCATTTTGCTGCTCGTACATTCTCAATTGATTGTAAAAGGAAATCTGTACAACAATGTAAATGCTAAAACCGAGGACGAGAGTCAAATGTCACCATGCAGTCCCAAAAAGAAGAAGGTTCAGCATGTTTCTATTAACCATGACCCCACCATGACTTCTCTAGGACCATCACATACACCTGAGAGCAGATTTAAAACCCCTATAACATTTTTTAAATTGCAAAGTAAATGCAATGAAGTTAGGAGCTTCTCTGTAAGTTAGGAATCATCAGGAGATGAGAGGGAACAATATCTGAATCTGTATGTGCAAACAAGGCATTACGATGATCATGCTGTTTGTTTGCTTCCTATATACACAGCTGACAAAGCTTTTAAGATTTCCTGCAGGGCATCTTCCTACCTACATAATAATAAGGTTTAATTGTATGCAGTACACATCTAATCATTATCAGATTTCATGGTGAGATATATTTGTTAAGAGAGTTATGTGAGGATATTGCTGAGGCTGAATGATAACTTCATAGTACAGTCAATCCCTGTGGGGGATGACAGCCTGAACAGAGCATGATGGTTCATTATGGGAGTAATCACCCAAAGCTTTAGTCCTAAATCCACCACATGGCTTCCCACACAGCGCACAGAGACACACATACACAGACAGATACTGAGAGACAAAGAGAAACCAATAGAAAGAGTCAGATACTGTCACAGTGAGGGAAATACACACTGGAGATGAAGACTAACAAGCAGACACAACACATGGAATGGAAAAACCACAAATGGTAAGATACTCAAGGCAGGCAGAATAACAGACTCATGCTCGTTAAAACAAATGTATACAATACATAACTGCAAACACAAGGAGAGAATGAGAAAGTGATTGAGGGGAGAGATGCGCTTCTCTCATGCCAGCCAATTCCAGGAACAATTTCCTGGTCTTAATTAGTAAGGGAGATGGTGAAATGAGGAGTTGGTTGCGAGCATTGATTTCCATAAAGATTGAGAATGAAATTAAAGGAGATTAAAGCAAAACGCTCAGGGGATTAACAGACAACACAACTCGCACATATTAACATGTAGCGCTAAGCTAGCAGGCTATCACAGTAAAATATTGGTGCCAGTTTGGCTAAATAGTGTGTTTGGAAGCGTGTGATATCGAGAAAGATGGAATGTGACATTGTGTCCACGACACCAGCGGGCTGTGAATTAACATCAATGAAAGGTGTGTGTCATTGTGCATGTGTGCAAATATATGCCCAGGGGAAATATGTGCACAGGACAGGAGGGACAGCTGTGTCCCATCAATTCACTGACCTCACTTCACACCAAACTGCAGATAATGCTATCCAGCTTCATAAATATAACAAAAGCAAAGATAAGTTCACTGAACAACGAAGAACTGCAACAGGGTTGAAGAATACAGAGGGCAACCTTGCCGAGTGTTCTTCAGTGTGAGACCAGAAAATAAAGCAGGGTAAGCATTTATTCAGAACATGACCTTTTCTTGCATACACTCCCCTTTCTTCTCTCTCTCGCTCACCCTCATTGTGTCCCTCCCTCTCTCATTGTCTCTCTCTGCCTCCTTCCCTCTCCCTCTAAAACTTCTTCCATTGCACAACTAAAACTGTTATTATGTTGGTGTTGAGTTTGTTGCCTCAGGCACCTCTACATAAGCACATCTCAGAGCAATTATCCAAAATGGGTGTCTCTGCTTGCATGCTACCCATGCCAAATCATAACGGTTTCCCCTGGTGGAGCTGCTCAAGCAATAAAGAGCAATGTGAGCTGCTTGGGAAGAAAGTAGCAGGCAAAGTACTCTCCTTAAGTGTCAGGGGGGATAATTTGGACATCCAATTTCCTACATGATGGCATGCAATGGAAACAATTTGATCTTTGGCTTAGAAAAATCCCCGAAATGATGTGAGTGATAAAGCACACACAAGGGCAAGGTAACATTTAATGACCATTATGAAAAAATAAATGTCAATTGAAGACATTAGTATTCAATCAAT